CGACATGAACCAACTGGGGGGAAGGAACGAGAATGGTGATAGATTTGCAATTTATGTGCATTCAATACAATGGTTATGAGTGACACAATATTCCCACACAAACGCATACACAAAGTTACATGGGTCTCATCGAATCACACTACACAGAACCAAATCAATCATATTTACACCAGTAAAACATTCGGAGGGACAATAAAAGATGTGAAAGCCAGGAGAGGGGCTGAAATAGATTCCGATCATCACCCTTTGGTTGCCAAGATGAAACTGATGCTGAAGAAACGCCGGAAAACTGGAGAAACGGTATTACAAACGTTCAATACAGCTTCCCTTCAATATACTGATAAACTCAACGAATTCAAGATAGCTCTCAACAACAGGTCACAAGCCTAACAGGAGCTACTGAAAAAAAACTACTGTAGAGAACAACTGGAATGGGGCCAAAGAAGCGCTAACTTCGACATGTCAGGAGGTGCTGGGCCTCAAGGAGCATCATCATAAGGAATGGATCTCTATCGAAACCCTGAAACGTATGTAAGAAAGGAAGAATGAGAAGACAGAAATTAACAACAGTCAAAAAAGAGCAGAGAAAACCACTTCACAGAATGAATACACAGAAGTAAACAAGCAATTGATGAAGACCATTGGAGCCTAGAAGCAGAAATACGTAGAACAGCTAGTAATAACAGCGGTAAAAGGTGCAAGAGAAGCAGCACCTACAGACATTTCTGTAGATGTCAATCCATCAACGATCAAAGAAATATGCATAGCCATCAGACAAATCAAGAGTGGAAAAACAGCAGGACCTGACAATATACCAGCTGGAGCACTGAAGTTAGACATAGAAATAACTGCAAACATACTCCACGTCTTATTCAAGAAGATGTAAGAGGAAGAATAAGTGGCGACAGATCGGATAGAAGGAAATCTAATCAATATATCAGAGAGGGAAGACCTAAGTAAATGTGAGAACTAGATAGGAATCGCACAACTATCAGTAACAAGGAACGTTTTCAACAGAGTGTTGCTGAATCGGATGAAAGATTCAGTAGACGCTCAAATTCGTAAGGACCAGTCGTGCACAGACCAAATCGTCACATTATTATTGATTGTTGAGCAACCAATTGAACGGAACTCGTCACTATACATCAACTTCCGTGACTTTGAAAAAGCATTTGACAGTGTGGATAGGAAGAGATTATGGAAACTTCTTCGACAATATGGTGGTAGTAGCTGAGAAAATTGTCAACATCATACGGAATTGATTGGATGGAGTACAGTGCAAAGTGGTGCATGGAGGACAGCTGACAGATGCATTGCAAATGAGGACCGATGTCAGACAAGGCTGCTTACTCTCACACTTTCTCTCTCTTCTGCTCGACGACTGAGTTATGAAGACCCTCACATCTGTATGCAACTAGACGATTTGGATTACACAGACGACCCAGACAACCCATCCCGTACACACCAACAAATACTGGTCAACATAGCCAGTGTAGCAACAACCTCTATATCAGTACGTCTCAACATAAACAGTGGAATGGACAAGGTCATCAAACACAACACGGAGAACACCAACACAATGAAATTTGATGGGGAAACTGTGGAATGTGTGCAAAGTTTCACACAAGTAGGGAGCATCAATGAGTATGTGCAGTGGATGTGGAGGTCAGTATTGGTAGAGTGAGACAGCATTTCTACAATTGAACGACATGTGTAACTCAAATCAATTGTATGCAAGCCAACATTAGTGTTAGACTCTCCAATACGGGGCTGAAACTCACAGAACTCCCACAACCATGATCATAGTTTTACAAGTATTCATCAACAATTGTCTACACAAGATACTCCGAATAAATTTCACTCTGAAAATATTACACTTGGTTAATGATTAGTGCATGATCGAATCGACTTTAAGTTTAGCGGACTTTTAGATTAACATGTTGTGCTTAAGGTCTTCTGAGTGACTGAGATTTCTACTAACAGCTTTTAAATATACAAGTGAATTATTTTAGTAGTTTAGTGAGGAAATTGTTCTTCTGTGTGTTGCTTAGGAATGAAATCTCTAGAAATAACATAATAGAACTTGTGAATATTTACTAGCAAAATTAATTATTCATTAGAATGATTGAATTTGAAACCCATTGATATCTGCCTATTTCAAATTTCATCATCATATATCAAAATTCTAGTTGGCTACGATGGTTACACATTATCTTCTTGGATTGGCAAACGCTAGATGTATAAACCATATAATGTTAAATCAATGGTTTGGAGGTTAGGGTAGTAGTAGTGGATCTGACTACTCGCAAGATCGTTAACGAATGCTGTTTAGAAATTCCATGCTAGGATGAAAACAGTCGTTCATTACTTAATGGTTTCCAACAGTTACCTAGCTTTAGTCAGTTTATGGTGTGAAATTTCGGATTTATATTCAGTACGTCGAAAGTCATTTTGATTACTTAATCTTCTCACCATTTCGGTAATCTAGCTTTAATTACTCTGTATCTAATTTTTATTTACTGTGCATATTTATTTAAGTCGAATTTAAATAAAAAGTTTTCTTAATTTTGGCATTTAAAAAATGAAATAGCGAAAAATTTCAGTCAAAAATTTTTACTGACCTAAACGGATGAGCTTTGCTCAGTCTGAGGTGACCTAAATATTTCTCTGTATGCACAATTAGTGCGTCAAATCGATTGATAGTGATCGATAATAAATCGAAAACTAAGTTCGGGCAGACTATCAAGGTCGTACTTTCAAAAAGTCTGACTGATAAAATTCGAATACATGATTGGCAAATAGTTTACATATCAATTCGATTAAAACTTAGTACCCTATAGCGTCTTGAAGATAGCAAGAACAAAGATTCTAACAGAATAGCATGAATTCATGTTATTTTGTTTGGTTCTCGTTAGTTACTAACAACCTGTGATATTCAAAATCATAGGTACAAAATGGGTTTAAACGACTGACATGACAGAGTTAATTCGGAAGTTATTTTGAAGGCACATCAGTACGGTATAGCAAGGGTGTAAATAAACTGAACAGACTGAATAAAATATTGTAAATATATGCCTTATGTAAATGAACATTCTACAACATTGGCTATAACAAAGGTCCATAGGACTAGACACAAGCGGCTACGTAATAAGTAAACGCTAATTCAAATAAGATTAATAATGTAGCAGACAGTCGAAATAAAAAGACGTAATTTGTAGATAGTCGAACAAAATTTTTATGATATGATGAAGGAATATTTGTCACCAAGTCAATGAAAGATTATTAACCAACAGCTTTTGAACACATAAATCAGGTTTTTGTCACCTGACAGCAACGCCTTCAGTAAACCTCAAGAGAATGTAGAATGTTCTTTTACATAAGGCATATATTTACAATATTTTATTCAGTCTATTCAATTTATTTACACCCTTGATATACCGTACTGATGTGCCTTCAAAATAACTTCCGAATTAACTCTGTCATGTCAGTCGTTTAAACCCATTTTGTACCTATGATTTTGAATATCACAGGTTGTTAGTAACTAACGAGAACCAAACAAAATAACATGAATTCATGTTATTCTGTTAGAATCTTTGTTCTTGCTCTCTTCGAATGTTCAATACATTTGATCAACCATTGAATAGCTAATTTAGAACTGCATGATACAGTAGATACGACATTTTTGTAACTTCATTGGGTGATTTTCGTAATATGATAATAAAAAATGTTACCAACACATAGTTTGTTCGGTAGAAAAAAGTAACATCAAGGTGGGGAAAGAGGAATTTGTCTGGTGGTTAACTCATTATCTCATTCCAACTGTATTTTCTGCTAGCTAAAAATGGGATCTAGAAAAAACTATCCTTTCGTATTTCAAATTCGTCAGGTGGATGAACTGTCATCGTATTGAACAGCTATTTTCATAATAACACATGAAACCTTCACGGACACTTTAGATGATCAATCAGGACATGAACTCGGTATTGCCGTTAAGGTCTTCTGATTTGGTTCTTTGCGTAATAGCAAGAAAGTTGGAAACGTGATAACAGTTGTATCGTATTTATTTATAGATAGAGTATTCATAGTGACCTCACTACATATTTTTGCATCTAACATAATAGTGATAGAGATAGATGGACTGATATGTATTTATTGACAAGTAACAATTAGTTTCTCTCTGCTTATAAAATACAGTAAAAATAAGTACGTTTAACTAGGACTCCCCGAAACTATTGATTTACTGTTCGGAGTTGACATGTACTATTTTTCGTCACTAAAATTAGATGTTCCTTATCACCTAAGGTTAGATTTCTGTGATTTAATTGGCATTTAATTTAGTTACCAGCCTGTAATTTTGGACCTTATTACGAACTCAGTTTTGTTTATTCGAGGACAGTGAAGTCTCACTGCATACGTAATCTGACTGGAAAATTTCCGGTCCCAACTAGCTCACTGCTTGACTAAGCAAGTTGTTGGTTGGAAGTTACAGTCTTAACTATTAAGCTTAAGCTTTGACAACACACGCAGAGAAAAAAAGTCATAATAATAAACCTTACGAATTCTTTTTATTGTTTATGACATGGATACTCACGAAAGGTGATTATTAGATTAGTATTTACCGTTGCTCACATTTATGTAAACAGACTTGTGAAAGGTCATATGGTGTAGCAACTAAAAAAAACATGATGAAATTTTCATTGATCAGCACGAATAATGTTTACTTGATAAGGAATGTAATTTATAACCAAAACCATGCTGGTTACTAAGATGACAACAACAAAATTTGACCAAACTGGATTGTGCTAAATAAAGCTTATTCATTTATCTGATATTTCAAGCCAAAACTATTTTACAGAGAAATCAAACATTCGGTTTGTCTATTGTGTGACGTGTTCAAATTATATATATACCATTTACAGAGGTTTATCAGATTCTGCAATAAATGCGGGTTCTAATATTATGCAAAGGAATGTAGTTTGCTAATATTTTCAGACCTAAAATCAAATTGTTAGACAAGTGAACCATATAATGGTCAAAATATGTGGAAGCACAAACAGTTTGTTAGCGTTAAATAGACCAGTATATAACAGAATTTTGGAGTTAAATGAAATAGTAGTAGTAGTAGTAGTAGTAGTAGTAGTAGTAGTAGTAGTAGTAGTAGTAGTAGTAGTAGTAGTAGTAGTAGTAGTAGTAGTAGTAGTAGTAGTAGTAGTAGTAGTAGTAGTAGTAGTAGTAGTAGTAGTAGTAGTAGTAGTAGTAGTAGTAGTAGTAATACTAGAAGATACTGAAGTTTTGAATACATCATGGTGCTTGTTTCAGGTTAGCTTACTGATTATGTATTTAACGGCGAACATCCTGATGAGCTTCTAAGAAGAATATCTAGATGCGAAAGTTCACTTTAAACCTTTTACTGAATTAATGTTCACATAATACTTATCTAAATAGATATGATTTTGAATGCTGTTTTACACACTATTGTTAGAGTTTAGGAAGATAGCTATTTTATGCACGTATTCATCTTACAGATTAAAATCTGTGGTTAATTAGAATTAATCATTCATCTTGTTATGTAAATAGACAAATTTTATGATTTAATCTGTTTGCGTGAAGTTATTTCAACTAATAGCATCAAAGTGAATCCTTTTTTGTGGAATGACGTTTTTGTTGGTAAACAAACAATCAGACAAAAAAATTGGTCATGTAACTAGTTGAACTACTTCTGTTTCACTTATAGACAGTAGACCTTGTAGCATTCAATTAATCAATTTCTTTCTACATTTTTTTGGCTTATGCAGTTCATAATTTTAACTTGAATAACTAACATACAAGTAGCAATGGTTTTAATTTATGATAGCTTTACAATGTTTTTAGATCTGGTTTTCAAAGTTACGTATAATCTCCTCAGATGCTAGTACTCGATCGAATATAACTGCTTCATTCAGTGATATATTTTTAGTTACAGGTTAGATTTCTCAGCACAAACTATATTTAATATAGCTAAAAATCTCACTTTAACATATACATTATTCGTAAGCAACTTAAAAATAGAATAGAATATATTCTAACAGTGTTGACTGTCACTCATCGTCAACTGTAAAAGTTTTCAAATATTTCCGTATCATAGAATACGTTTAATTTATGAGTCTTAATGTTTTCCTCTTCAATTTTTTCAAAAAAATAAATTAAAAAAGGATATATCCCAACCACTATGGTTTTTCCGCTTGTACCTTATAATACTCAGTATTAGGATATGTTGTGAGCTTTTATAAAATTACGTGAGTGCAAAAGTTTTGTTTATAAACAAAGTGAAAATAAAGAAAATTTATTAGAATAGCTACATAGTTATAGAATAGGTGATCAGTACAGTTCTAATATCGTTGACTACGCCACTGGATCAACTAGATATAAAATGTCAGAAAAACAATTGATATTCAGTCAGACTGATAATACAAGTTCTAACAAATACAAAAATCCAGACCACACTACTGTTGTGGTTAACTCTTATCTACTCTGTAGACTAAGATAGATTACTGGTTAGAAAAAGGTGTTGTTATAACAACAAATATGAAGGATTTATATTATAAGGAGTATTAAAATACAAAACGTATATTCTTGAGATGAAATTTTCTACGCGTAAACCATTAACTGCATAATTTATGAAATAATTCAATGATCGACGATTGATGCTTGCTAATTAGTATGTTATTCTTTTAAACATTAATTATTGCGTCTAATTTATGTAAAGAGATATTTTAAAGATCTCAATTGTTGACTGATTAATCAATAGTGTTATACATCATTCACAATGAGAAATAAAATGTAGGATCTTTTGTGTTAAAATACTTTAAACAAACCTCTTTCTTACGACAGAAAGTTAGATTTCCATTTGATTTTCGTTATCAGTACAATCGAATACCAGGGTGAACTGAAAAACCGTTTCTTCCATATATGGGGGTTTTTCAGCATTGAGTACCTAAGACCTATCCAGAGAATGAACTCAGAATTTTCAAGCCTCAGAGCGAGTTCATTATCTTTAGACTATTAAGTTATAATCAACGGGTTCATATTTTCCATGTTAATCAAAGCACAGATTTCGTAAGTGATATTAAACATGTGTTCTTATTATTTAAAGGTTCTGTGAAAGCATTTTGGGACATGATGGGTCGTAAAATTGTTCTGTTCACAGAAACCGAGTAAATTTTCTACAGTTTTCGGATTTTCGTGAAAAATCTAACCAGTTTGATCATTATATACACGTTACTTTAAAGGACCTTAAAATTACACCTAGTAGTTAACAAGCGAATACTTTCAGAACTTATATTACTCATCCTCATGCCATAAAAATATTTGGACAACATAAATTTATGCAACATAATCTATGAAAATCAGTGAAAAACACTCAGTTTTCTCATAGTTATTCAGAACTCTGTTAACAATATATTTTCAAGAAAACATTCGTAGGTAAATTTTCCAAAAGATTTTGTTTCGTAATATTTCTATTAGTTACATTTTCATAAATATTTAGGCGGTTAGAAAGACTGGATTGTGCTTAAATATATGGGTATGAGAGTTCTACAAAAGACCAGTCATAGCTAAAAACATCATTAAACGTGCTGGTATCAACAACGAAGAGTTAAGGAAAGTTAAGCTATTCGAGATAGTATCACTGTCTTCCAAGTTGAGTTAAAGATTCATTTTTCTGACTAGTGTTAGCAAGCACAAATATGGTATTGTTATATGGGATTTGTATTGATTGGTATAACTCGATTGTTCTTCTACAAGAAACCTTTTTGTAGCAAGTAGGAACTGTAACTTAGTTAATCTTATTAAAAAAGTATTACGATGAAAAACCAACAAATAAATCTCTCATATTCATGGACGACAATCAGTTAAACTCGGCAACCAAAATGAGGATGAAATATAATTCAGTACAAGTTTATATATATATATATATATATATATATATATATATATATATATATATATATATATATATATATATATATATATATATATATATACAACTCCTTAGGTTATTTAAAAATATTAGATGGGTTTTGAGGATATTATAGTAATTTCAATGGTTAAGATCACCACTCAATTTCGTGGAATAATTGAAGTTAGACATTAACACCGTTGGATGACGGGTCAGTGGTCTAGTGGTTAAGTGCTCGCGTGCGAAACCAGTATTTCCTGGGTTCGAATCTCGCAGCGAGCGAGGTTGTGGAGGCGCACTGCTGAGGAGTCCCATAATAGAACGAAACGGCCGTCTAGTGCCTCAAGGTTTTCCATTGTGGTCTAGCTTCAACTAACTCATGATCTTAACCATTGTGATTTAAAAATGTTGAACATAAACCAAAAGCCTGAGCATCTAATTCGAGGCTAATATTCTACAGACTTGGTTAACGTGAACAAAAATGTACATTACTAGTGAGTGAAGTGTGCTGTACGGAGTAAGTAATTGATCAAAACTGAATCAACAAAAAGCAAAGTTTTATGATGGCCGCAAAACTGACTAAAACATTTTTTAAATTTGTGCTATAAAAATAGAATATCAGAAAGTTTTATGGTACTTTATCGATTAAAAATCACCCAGTGGTCGTGGCTGTGTAGACAAAGAATAGTGTTTCTGTTTTCTGCTTTACTTTAGTCACATTGTTGTCACCATAGTCTCTCCCTCCCTCGATATATATATATATATATATATATATATATATATATATATATATATATATATATATATATATATATATATATATATATGCTTCCAAACATTAATTTTTGCAGAGGTAGTAATGGAAGGTTTGATAATGTAAACAAAAAAACAAACTGTTAGACTGTGCCAAGGTTCACTCAATCAATAGTAAAACTAAAAAAAATTGAAATACAATTCAATGATTGGCTATTTACGGTATAATGTGCATAAAATAGAGTTTAGCATAAAACTTAGCATTTAATATATGTATAATTAGTCAATAGATAAAAAAAAATCAAATTCCATTTTAGGTGTAGAGGTAAATTGTCAGATTAAATCAATAAACCATGTTTTAAATGAGGTACTGTCAAGTATTCGTACTTTATGGTTGTGAAAACAATCTGTGGCCAGTTTCTATAGTAACTTAATCACAAGGAAACAGATGCTATAAGCACTTACTGTTCAAACAAAAATTTGACCAACAATTTGCGATAAGTGGTTTTATTACTCTAACTTTTATTCAATAGTGCTCTTAATATTTTTGTTTTTATTAAATCCATGTTTCAATTATATGTTTGAGGAGTTTACTCCTCTCTTTTATAATTAGTGGTCTAATCGTACGAAATGCGATTATTTAATTAGACAATTATTTTATTGATTTTACAGTCGCGAATAACTATGAATCTGATTTCAGTTCAGGCGTTGAACACAACATGCTTATAACAGATGGATGATTTCAAAATTCTAATTCGTAGAACAATGAATTCCTTAATTTTCGCGGAAGCAGCTTCACAGGACAAGTAAACCAAACAGGTTAAAACATGTATTTTAAGAAATATTTTAAGTCTAATTAGAAGATTTAATCTTGGAATTAGTAATGAGAGGTATTAATCTTTCTCTACGATGACTATAAAGTATCTACATAAAAGTTTTATGGAAAAATGTTGATATATTTACCATTCGACAGAATCTTAAAACCCCTAAATGCTGGCATGCTCTAGTGTTCAGTGACTTACATCTAAGATCTTGAAATTTTAAAATAAATTACCTCTTTTACTGTATATGTAAGAACTTTCATATACTGAGTTGACAAATGTGTTGATTAGGTTTTATGGTTTAAAATTGCCTGTTGTCATGCAATCTTATCACTTTTTTAGCCCTACGTGGTAATATTACTGAGGTGGATATTAATCGTAGTTCACAGGAAAACCTGGACCTAGGTTTCGTGTTGTTTGGGACTAATTAGCATGGTGGGTCAATAATGTTTAGAGAACTGGTGTTCACTAGTGCATCTTATCGCATGTTACCCAGCCCCAACAGTCTGATAAGCTAATAACGAGCTGTATGGTCCTTGGTTGACCTACTGTAGTGCTGAGATGTATTCAAATGATAGATCATTAAGTGGTGACCGATGTGAGGTTTGTCTAGTCCTTCAACCAACTAATACCTCAGCTCGGTGTATATGATAATAAGTCACCTAGACTGGTAGCCATACAGCAACTTGATCGATAGAACTTGATCAGCACTAGGAGAACCGGAGAAATGTAACACTGGTCCCTACTCAGTGATCATTCAAGCGCAAATAATAAAATATACTATAATTTATTTACATCAGTTGGAAACCATCATACAGTTTGTAGTGCGCTTTCGTTTTTCCCC